CAATACCCAACCTTTGAACTTTTTTGGGCTCTTATAATTTAGTAGTAACCTGAAAGTTTAACCTTTTATTTCCTTGGCTTATTGGGGAAGTAAGGGAAGGGGCATTGTAGCTACAGCAACTACAGCGGGTACGGCAAGGGTTGCAGAACCAGAGACTATAAGGGATGCCGTAAGGGTCACTCTCAGGGTGACAACGGTTACTATTGGGTTACTGTAAAGTGTTGTCTGCTCCGGTTCAAATGAGGCAAAGCCCTGAAACCTCGGTTCAACAGCGTTCTAGCACACGCCATTCTTCCTTGTCGTTTTGTCGAACAAAGCACTGCATGGCCATGCCAGTCAAAAGTGATGCCAGCCGAGGAGAGAGATTCTGACCAGGAATATTCTCGAGAGGGGCCCACTGGAATTCATCGATCCCCCAGAGTCTCAGACACCCCGGCTGCCACGCATACCGAAGAAGCAGACGCAGGACTCTGCAAGAGGATGCCTCCCCAAAAGTTCATGTCCGTGCCGGAAACTTGTGCAATCTCCCGCCTGTATTCATGGAGTGCAATCCTCCGAAGCCCTTAGACATCTCCCGGCGAGGAGCTGGTCTCCATCCTCAAAGCCTGGCCCTCTCCCCGTCCATCTCCTCACTACGAGCTGAGCTTCGGTTTGCACCGGCTCTTTCACGGAGCTTCCCGGAAAAGGCAGGGGTTGCGATTAAGAGCCTCCTCAGCCGGAAACTGCGAAAGGAATTCAGGTAGAGAAAGTCGCGAGGATTTAGGGGTTCGGGGACTAAGGCGGTTCGGATTCGGACCAGAGCCTACTTCCTCCTGGATCTCAAACTGCCCTGAGCCCAGGAAAGTGTGGAATGTCATGAGCAAGGTGCACCGCAGTATGTCCGTGATTGCCGCACCAAAAGCATGCGATGGCATAGTAGAAGGTGCTGTCATTAATGTTTCATCTTGTAAGTGAAAGGAGACGAGCATGTGAAAATGCATATCAGCTTTGGGCAGTGCAGAAACCCATTCATGCGATAAAGTACTACATCAAACTTTGGCGCCTTGTCGCCGCACAGCATATGTCGCATTCTGTGGGCCAATAAAAGTTATCAGAACATCCCGCACGAAATCAGGGTTCAGGGTTCATCGTATCAATGCTTCACGGCGACGGCAGTTCCGGGCGAGAGAAGCCTGCTGCAAAACGGGTCATCGTATTCAGGTTTAGGGTTATAGTGTTATAAGGTTTAAGGATTTAGAAAGGTTATGTGTTTGGTACTAGTTACTGGGAATTAGGTTAAAGTCTCAGTGTTTAGGGAAACCGGTGAAGCCTGGTAAGCGCGGAAATTAGGATTGATGCATGTGCGACCCCACACCATAGACGATAGACTTGACTTGCCTGACGCCGGTATTTTTTCATTCTGTTCTTTTTCACACGTAGATATAGGCTGCGTTCCCGAAGATGGATGGACAAGTTTCGGTAACCTATGAAACAGTCGAGGATCTGGGCATTCAGGTAGGCTGCAGCGTCTGGAAACGTTTGTTGCCTCGGGGGCTCGAGATGAATCGGCAGCCTCACATGCGGTCTTTTTGCAACAGCCCCCACCCCGGGATAAACCCTAAATGCGAATTGGTCCCTCTGTCACGTTGCCCAGCATGTCCACGTAGCAATGTCGGACACTTATCACCATGCCAGCTTTTGCGAGTGTGTGAGTCGAAACCCCTAAGCCCCAAACCGGCATGGCATGGAAAGCCCAGGTCCAGCAGCAGCGAGGTGCCTTGGGCGGG